AAGCTAACAGGTGCTAACATTGTCTTAACTGATGCTCAACACACACAAATCTGTTAAAATCTCAAAAAAAATACTCGAGGGTTTCGTGAACCCTTTAATGAAAATGTATGCTTTTCAAAAGATGGCATGCCCAAAAAAACACATTCCTAAACCCAATCGTTATTGGGGGTGGAGCAAATCGTAAATGTACAAATGTGATCATACAAAGCAAAAAGGTACAATTTTTGGTGAGATTGCATTGGAAAAATCAGCTGCTTTCACATGGTTTCTAGATTGTCTTTATTAGGTTAACTGCTTACAGTAGCTTTGTTACCAACTAACCAGTGCAGGTAAGATTGACGCTGTTGTAGACCATAACTGCAGCTGGGAACCTGAAACTGGTTAACCAAACGCCCAGTTTACACATGCGTTTTAAAACAAAAACATGTAGATGTCCATCCACACTATACAGTTGAAAATGTACATCACGTGAGCATGCACATACTCTAGGCATGTGCGTTCAAGTATAAACAGGAAGTACTGTATGTGCTTCACACAACATTTGGTTACTAGTCAACAACGCAAATCAACAAATAAAGTTCAGTTGCCTCAGAAGCAAATACTTCATTCACAAACATGTCCCACCTGGGACTAGATCCTCAAGGTCGAACTCAAAGCCGGTGTTCTAAACAGGACTTGTGCTGTTTGAAAGGTGAGCGTTTGATGACTTCTCTAACAATAGCTTGCCTCTTTCAAATGTAGGCAACTGCTGTATTTTAAAAAGCAGAGATTAACTGCACAATGGACAATGTGAGCAAACTGCCATTTCTGTTTCCATGTTGGTGTTTACAGATCATCAGGACTGGTCTGTCATCTTCTAGTAGTGGTATGGTCCTGTCATAGGGACTTGATGAATAAGGGAAGGATATGCAAAGTCCCAAAAGACTCAATCAGGGAATGAATGTCTGCAGATGTCTCCGTTTGCATTTCCATATGAAAATGATCTCTATAATGGTTTCAATAAAGGTTGGGTGATGTTGACCAATTTGGCATTGTACAATGTTTAATATGAAAGATCGCGATGGACGATGGCATTGTCCTCGTAGGCAACGGTGAATTAATTATTTATGAATAATTAATTAATTCATAACGAATTAATTATTTGTGGCTTACCGTTTCAACTACCTGACCCGCATGGTCTTTGTTTTACCCACAACCAAATCATATATAAATAAAGATAAGTTACACATAAATGACCACCTGTCAATCACTTTTTTCCACAGGACTCTGGCATGAATAGGCAGATTGATCTGTGTCGTTATAATGGCGTCAACAAACTTGGTTGGTAAAAAAGGTGCACAACCAACAGGAATCTGAGGTTTTTACAAAAATTACTAAGTACAAACGTAAAAGCGAAAGATTAAAGCAGTGTACTGACGCTGTGACACGTCACCGGATAGATAAAAAAAACAAAGAGTCGTAAGATAGAGACAAGATTAATTAAACATCATCAAATATCATCCAGCGGTAAATCCTTGATAAACTGTCCGACGTTCACTGCACTCGGGAGTTTTGTGCTCAAAGCACCCGCTGACTGCCTGGAGCTCAGACGTCCGCATATGCTGCAGTGCATGCCAGTGTGTGTGTGTGTGTGTGTGTGGTCACGTGATGTGCATTTTTAGCTGTATAGTGTGGATGGAGAAGCTTTTAGAAATGGTAGATGTGCCAGTGTGGATGTGGATCGTTTTCATTCTAAAATTTAATTTTAAAATGAAGACAGTTTAGTGTAAACGGGGCCTAAGTGTGCATTTTTCGCAATGGACAATGGGCAGAGGATCACGATGTCGGCTCAGCAATGTGATGTCTATCGCCCATTGGTAATGGACAATGGCATCATCTATCGACCGAACTCTAGTTTCAATGGTCTCCATGTAGCAAAAGTTATGCATTTCAAAACTAAACTCAATCTAAAATGCTTATTGTTTACTAAATGAGACCTACACCCAAAAAATGCTTTTCCTGCTTGTTCAAACTACTAAATCAACACAATTCTTCAGTTTATTTTTTTTCTGAGGACAACTTCATTGTTTTATGTTGAACAAACTTAAATTGGAAAAAATAATTCAGTTAACCTAATCGATTTGTGCTGGTACAACGTGAAGAGATTGTGTAGAACCCTGCATTCTTTTTACAGTGTAAGACACTACTTTATAGAAGGAATCAATATTTTGGGTTGGGTTTTTAAAACGATTCATTCAAAAGCATTTGTTGAAAAGAACTGTTCAGAAGAACTGATTTGCCATGAGTTTAATTTTCAGATGAAATACCTTTTATTCCAACCACTAAAATAGAGTAACAGGAAAATCAAATGATCAAAGCGAATTCTCATTACTTGACCTTGGATCATTCTTCAAATATTTTCTTTCTAGGTCAGCTGTTATTTTCGGTATGAATGAGCCAATCAGAGTTGATCTGTCTGGGAGAGTCGTGTCCTGGTGTACAGTGTGTCATCTGAGTAACTAAGTGTCCCTTTAGGGCAGTATGTGAGACAGTTCAGCTTCTTTAAGCTCACTGGACTATGCTTTACTATTCCATCCAGCCCTCTCAATGTCCTCATTTTCCTCCCCGACGACACAACAAACTCACAAAGAATCACTTCACTGTCCTTAGAGAAAGACTGCAATGTGAAGAGGAGGAGGACGCCATTCTTATTATTATCATATAAACAAAACACTTATTTCAAATCACCCACTGAAATACAAAACCATTCAAACATGCAAGCCTCCATATTAGGGCTGCACAATATATCGTTTCTGCATCAATATCACAATGTGTATGGAATTAGATTTGTGCCAAATAAAATACACAAAACTTTTCCAAAAACAAACACGAATTTACATGAACAAATTAAAAAACGCTTGAAAAATACAAAACATTCAGCCAATGGCATAAAAATAAACACTGTTTTCAAAAAAAATGTATCGTTAGTTTGGCTTCGCTTTCGATAAACACAGTTTAATTGAAGATGATAATAAAGAAATGTATATATTTATGTGAGACAACAATCAAAATCCCTGGAGCCAAGGTAAGCTCGCTCCCATGAGAGCTGTGTCAGAATTGCAAATGTAAATTTGAAAAACGTAAACTCTGGCAGTGCAATCTTAACTTATTTTTACTTAAAAAATATTTTGTTTCTTTAAATATTTCCTTTTAGCTTTCATTCATCCATTCATTTTCTTTTCGGCATTCATTCTTTATTAATCTGGGGTTGCCACAGCAGAATGAACCACCAACTTAACCACCAACTTAACTTAATACCTGTCTCACATGTCTTTAGACTGTGGGGGAAACTGGAGCACCTGGAGGAAACCCATGCGAACGCAGGGAGAACATGCAAACTCCACACAGAAATGCCAACTGCCTCAGCCAACGCTCGAACTAGCGACCCTCTTGCTGTGAGGTGACAGAATTACCTACTGCGCCACTGCAGCACCCCTTTTAGCTTTATTTCAGTACATTTTTTGTTTAAGTAACTTTCATTACTGATTAGTACACAATTACGCTTGCAATTTAGCACTTTGGTATTATTTTGCTGCAGCTTTATTTATTTTATCTATGATGAAAATCAACTTTTGTAAGCTGTTTGGACAGAACTGTCTAGTGTGTCCACTGTCATATTGGAGTGATATAAACACAACACAACAAGAAACTCAAGGGATTAAAACATCTGTTCCAACTTTATGTGATTTTTATAAGTCTCTTGAAGTTTTATAAGTAAATTTTTTTTTTTAAAGCAGAGCATGTTTGTAATAAAGACAATAAAATATCTAATTCTTAACAGTTATAATCACCACGGCCGCATGGTGCCAGTAAATGCTAATATGTGTGAGGGTATGTGTGTACTATAAATGCCATTTGTAATAGACTCCACCACAAATACATCAAATAAACTTACTTGGTTTTTTAAAATGATGAGCTGTATTTCAGCTTCATTCGTGTCTGTCTCTGTCACTGACTGCTGTTTATCTGATGTGACATGAGAAGCAGCCACGTAGGTGGGAGAGGTGGGCGGGGAGAAGCAGCTCATTTGGATTTAAAGCCACAGGCTACAAAAACAGCTGCTCTGTATTCAGACACCACAATGGGCATATTTTGGAGGCTATAGTAAATTATCTGATGGTTATTTTGAGCTGAAACTTTAAAAACACATTCTGAAGACACCAAATGATTATCTTACAATTTGTAAAACAAGTAAAATAGGAGCTTTTTAAATGAACAAAACTAAAATATTTCATTTTAGTTAACAATGATAACTGCACTGTCGGTAATATATATGTTCTTTATGCTTATGCATTATGTATGTAGACACACACTCAACTAAAGGTGAGCCTGAAAAGTTGTTTTGTTTGTGTTTTGCACTCAAACAACAATACTGCCAAACCAATTCCTATTTGAACTTATTAAAAAAATGTATTACATGCCAGTCCAGCAGTTAGCAAATTCATGTAAAGAAGTTTGCGTGCACATGCTTTTGTTTCAGCATTGATATTTGGATTGGCTTTTGATTGACTTTCACTTGAATATACTTGTAATATGTATGCACATGACATCACCGATTTGACAAAATCTACTTTTGGTGTTTATGTTGAAAAAACATAATTTAAAAAAAAAACGTTTTTAGGTCCCCATAAGGCAGTTGTAATGTAAATGAATGGCCAAAATGCATAAATGGTGTCATGTAAATGACCCCTAAATGATAGGCAGCTAACAGTCTATTCAGAGTCTGAAATAAAGCAACATAATTTAAGGGCAGCCTTTCAATAAAGCATTACGTAATTTTTGGCCTTGCAGGAGTAATCTGAGGGATTACTTTCTCCTTAGTGATTATCTGACTGGATTTAATTCCGTCTGACTGCTGCACAGAGACAGTGTTTAGATGGTGTCCATGCTAAGTGTGTAATGAACTGTTTCTCAATCTCAGATACACTACAGATACATAAAAGAGAGTTTCTGAAACCTACCTGCCTGGAAGGTTTCTCTGTCCTCTGTGGTTTAGCAAATTGAAAGCAAGAAGAACATTATGAACCATTTCATGAGCCAATACATCAAGTCCAAACACATTACAAATGCCACTCAGATCTAGTAAAAACATGCACACAGGCTGCTTTCAACAGTGAAGAACAGAAATAAGATACAATTTAAAATACCAATATCATTCAAAAACTAAATTTCCATAAAAACACACAGCAAACCCATGCAGTTTCATTTAAGTAACCTCAATATAGCATGCATTTAAAGCACCTGTCAATCATATGTTACAATTAGACATGCCATTATTCAATAATTCAATTTATTGTGATAATGAACATGCATAAAACTGATATTATAGCCACTTCAAAATACAGTGAAAGATTATTTCATCTATTAAAGTGCTTTTTAAGAATATGGTGGTGTTCACAAATGTTCCACATGCAAACAGACTTAACCAATATACTGAATTTCTGGTTATGCAATATATCACCCATATACAATAATCAATTCTAGCCACAATTTAGCTGTTTGTGCAGCCTCTCTATCTCTACTGGAGGTGTCATTGGGGTTAAAAAAAACACTATAGTATTTACTATAAATTACCATAGCATATTTTAATGTGGGTGTCTGATGACTGAATATAGATCTTTTACCTTTTTCTAGTTCTTTTTACCTTGGACATTTTTGTTAACATTTATTAATAGTATTTATTTGTTTGGGATATTCACTTTTCAATTCTTGAATATTAAATTGTAAAATGACTTTAAATAAATGAAATATTCTTAAGAGTAAATATGATGTGTTCTTTGGAGGAGTGTACTTGCATTATGAAGCTATTATAGTGTCAAAATTGTCTTAAAATGACAATCGTTTATCTTAATAAATGTGTTACTATACATCGTACCACAAAAAAATGGATATCATGACAAGCCTATTAATTGGTTAGCTTAATAGTTCAAACATGACCATTTACACATGCTAATCTTGCCTAGTAGAGATTAAATATCGATTGAAAATTCTCAGACTATTTATACGTAGAATTATTGCTTGTTAACTGTACAATAAGGCACTAACAGTTAACATTAGTTCATAAAGCTTAACTCACAATGAAAACTAAAAAAGTTTTTACTATTCTTAGGTAGGGCTGGGCCGATAAAGCAATATTATATCAAATTGTGATAAAATTTGTCATAACAATAAGATTTGGACTTTTACACTATAATGATCCAAGCGTCAATAACACAGCAACATGTGCAACAATGGGAATCTAAAAGTTTTTTGATACTAGAGATGTACTGAATTTTCAGCTACCAAAAATGTATCAGCCCAAAATATGTTATGTCATTTGATAATTTTCTAATTTTTTTGCTTCCAGTCATTGTTGGGATACTCTTAAATCTGGAAGCATTAACAGTTTATATCGAAATACATATCGCTACCGTTCAAAATAGAAAACAATTATCAAGATTATTCTCAACTAATATTAATCTTTTTCTTGCTGTTGATTTTAATCTATTAAATAATATAGCTCTTTTTTAAATTTTCTGTCATATGTTATAAAATCTGTCTATAACCAGGGCTGTGTGATTTGGGGAAATATCTAATTGCAATTTTTCTGACATGTATTGCGATTTGATTTGCAATTTAATTTTGTTGTCAAGCCTTAGGTAAAAAATCTGTAAGCCGTGGCAACAATTCTATGACAGCTCTAAAAAATTTGGTTTTTGTTTGTTGTCTGTGACTTTAAAACCGAAATATTCCCATATTACCAATGGCCTGTTTTTCTTTGATATTATTTGTTTATTAATGCTTCTGAAGCAGCAGACACCATTATCCCAATTTTCCGCACCTGAATGTTGGTTTTTGTTCAGTTGCGCAATTCTTAGAACGAATGTGTGCTTACTCAATTGGCTAAGACTGTCGCACACAGGCGGCAGTCATGCATTTGCTTTGGGTGGGGAAAATTAAATATTACATACACATTTCATATCACAGCGTCTTGCGATTAGTTAATCGCAACATTTCAAATTGCGATTGCAATTCGATTTCAATTTATAGCACAGCCCTATATATAATCCTTAAGATTTTAGTGCTTTAATTACTTATTTTCAAAACCGGGGACCCTTATAAAAAATGTAACATTCCTTCTGTACGGCACATGCAAATATTAAAGTCTAATCACAAATATCTAATTAACTGTATATATAGTTAATTTGTGAACTTTTTTTATTTCTGAATTTATTGTATTTAATTTTACAATAAGAAGATAAAGCTTTTAATTAAAATATATTTTTAACATGCAGTTTATTTACATAAATAAATCTACAGAGAAAAAATATATGCATCTATAAAGAAAAAGAGTGTTTTGAGGTTTAATGCTAGGGCCCCATACCTGTAATTGCTCAGGGCCCCCAAATCACAAAGTCTGCCCGTGAGTGTTACCTATTGTACTTTATTATCATTTAGCAATTTAATTTTTGAAGCAGTTGTTTACTTTGAACATGTGTATAAACAACAAAGCAGTATTAGTATATTATTGTATTTTTTGTAATAAGTATTTTTTTATTCAAACAGTTCAATATTGTGATTAGGGCTGGGTGATTCATCGAAAAGTAATCGAAATCGACATTCAGAAACTTTAATCGATCTAACTTTGAACTACTTTTTCTACCACGTATGGAGTCACATGAAGGCTGATTTATATTTATATTTATATTTCTGCATCGAACACACATATGGTCCAGTGCAGCTTTCATGTGGTTGCATACCGGCGCAACTCTCAAAATGTAACTTTGTCGCAAACTTCGACTTGGTTGACTTGTTATCGGTTATGAGCATGGGTGGTGCTAAGAGCCATGGAAGAGCAGCAAGCCCAATGGAGCGAAGGTTTACAAGTGTCGAGTGCCAGTAGAGCTCCAAATGGAGACTTTTGTTTTGTTTACCTTATGATTAAGGTTTTTGCATGTTATCGCCTATAAATGAGCTAGTTTTAGCTTTAGTACATTAAGGTAGGGTTCAGAAAAAGCAAACCACCTGTGACAAAAGTCGACACTGAGGAACATAAAAACCCGCTGCTAGCTAGTGCTTTGGAAGTGTTATTGCAGGGCAACACCAACAGCACACAGAAGTATAAATGCATGACTAAGCCAAGGCATGCGCTGTGGGTCATGAAGATCACTCAATGCAGAAGTGTAAATCAGCAAGGGATGACGATAATTTATACTGATCTCTGGTCAAGTAGCATGATGAGATACTTATTTACTTCTTTTGCACTTTTAATATGATTAATATTGAAAATAATTTATTTTGTTTCCAAAAGTGCAAGTTATTTATTTTTACTTTTTTTTATTAGAAAAGTTTATTTTAGCTAATGTGTGTTTTAATTTTAGTTATTCGGCGTTGATGTTCAATAAATGATAAAAGACAGTATATAGTGTGTGTTTCCTTCAATTATTTTAAAATCAAGTAATACATCATTCAGAAAACACTCACTTGTAGTATGTGAGCATATGTATTGTGCAAAACTTGTCAGTGAAGTATGAGGGCAAAAAAAAATAATAAATATAATAATCGTTCATTAATCGTAATCAACTAAAAATGTTCCATTAATTTCAGGCGAAAATCAGCCGGCCCTAATTGTGATAATAGCCTATGTTATGATAAAAGCTTTAGCAGTTAATAGCAGAACATTTGATAGCCTAGTCACAATTTCTATCAGGTTTTATCAGTGTCTACAAGTGTTAAGTGTGCTAAAGTATTTGACATGGCTGTCTACTTCTATCTAAGTACCTATGTGAAAGAGCTACACACAGCTCAGCACCCATCAGATCAGACATGGAAATGAGTGACCTGCAGTAGTCTACAGAGGTTGGCTTTGTCACATTCACTTCAATTACATTAGACAGAAAGCTCTTACCCCAGTCTACTGCTTCAGGAGTCAGTACGCTAGAGTACAGCTCTGGGAAGCATGGTTGGCAAAACAAACACAAAGTATTAAAGTAGGTTAAGACACAATGTTGAAAGACATGCATGTAATATTTTATAACATACATCAAAAATAAGATAATTTAGTATGCAAAACTAAATAAATAAATTGGTTTTACACTTCATATTTTCAGATTTTTCATAGCATATGCATTAATTCCAGTACTTTTACCATTAACCGATATATCAACCATTTGGTAGAAATTGATATTTTAGAAATTATGGAATGTGTTGAAAAATATGCATTGAGTGTGTTAGATAGAGACATTAGGAGTTAAGAAATGCAATCCAAACATTTTTTTTTTTTTTTTTGGTGGGTCAGGTAAAGAGTTAATGTACTGACGTACTACTGTATATGGAGGCTTGTTATGATTTATCTTCCAATTCAGAGTTTCATTTTCTAACAGTTGAGTTTATATTTCACATCTGTCACACATAATATCACAATTCTGAAGAAAAAATGCTGAATTATGAGATAAACAGCAACAATTACTTATATTTAGCCTGTTGTGAAAACAAATATTTACTACACTGCACACAAAAATGGCTTAAAGCAATTTAAATTGTAAGTTTACGCCATTGACATGTCTTTGGTACATACGCCATTGAATGTTTACAGTACAATACTAAATATGTTTGTTCACTGAGAAAGAAAGGTAAAATATTCACTGGTTATCAGGGGTCTTGTTGGTACAGGAGATGCTCCCTGCCCAGATCTCAAACACTGACAAACCTTTTTGGCTTCTCTACAAAAAGGAACTAGAGTGTGTCATATTACACTTACACTGGCTGATGACATTTTTATGACTTTCATTACCAGGTAATTAGAGTTGTTAGATTGGTGAAGCACCTAATGCCAACAGGATGCCCACTGCACTCATACAGTTTTGTTTGGTTAAAGCAAATCCACTGGTACTACCATTGGAACATATCTGGTCACAAGATTTTAATTATTTAGCTCTGGACAATCACGTGGAAAATGAAACGGGAAGGTCACGTGATTGTCCACCTAAAAGGAACTTGAGAGACAGTGAGGAGCTTGATCTAATTCTCTCATTTGTTTAAGTGTGTTGGCAACAGATCCCTGATGTTTGACTTCAACTCATGACAAACTCATGCACCTCGTTAGAAGTCTGAATGTTCTTATAACTAGTGAAAGCCTGTTGTTTGTACGCCATGCAAGTCTATAAGCATTCCTGATATCTGTAATTATATTTTAAAGTTTCCTGTATGCAAAAATTTAACTAGTATAGAATAACGTGCCTCTTTAATTTAGATCTACTCGAGTTGTCGGAGAGTGATACGATATGTAGCCTACAATATATGTAAAGTATGTTACGCATATCCAGCATTTTCACAAAACAATAAGACATAAAAGTGATCTGGAAGAAAGCTTACCCTGTTGTCTGGGCTCCATATTAGCGGTACTGTGAAAATAAAGCTCCACTAGACACACTCTGCACCTCTCTGTTCAGTGAAATATCCTGACGTCCAAACACAACCGCTTTACACCAAACACGCATTCGCTCCAGTCAAAGCCCCGCCCATTACCAGGGCAGCTTCAGCCATAGACCAATGAGGACATCTAGGATTAGCATATTCTAATTTAAAACATTTGTCATGGTAAATAACAACAAACGCAAGTTTCTGTGTAAAGACGACCGCAGACAAATGTCTGTGTATAAGGGATACGGTTGTCTGATACCAAAAGCAAGTCTTTATACCTTCTTGTGGAAGCTGTGGACCTTATTTAATAAACTGTGGGCAACCTGTATTTTTAAGACATCCACTCACTAACTTTTCTCCATGCTTTTTTTTATCAGGTATCACAACAGTCACAATTACTCTGGCATTTGTTTTATGGACCGGATGCCATCCCAGCCGCAAAGATATCATTATTTATATTGTGGAACAAATCATTAACGCTAACGTAACAAAACATTAAACTAAAAGTTACAACTTTTATATGTTTTAAAAAAACTAAATGCAAGTCATCAAGATCCAGAAAGAACCCATAATACTCAAAAACTCTCTGCAGGGTTTTTAGAGCAACAAGCTGCTCTAGTAAACGTATCAATACTTATGAACAAAACAACACTTACAAAAATACGGGTAAATAAGCATATAGAATCTGCCTAGGCTGTGCTACAAATGAATAATTGCCATACCAAAAAGGATGATGTCATGATGAGTGACACGTTTACCTGGGGGCATCAAGAGTTTACTGTCGGTTAAATCGCCGTTTCAGACAACAGCGGCATCTTCTGGCGGTGAGACACGGGAAATGCAGACTGCAAAGCAGATTTTTTTTTTATTAAAGGCAGGTATTTACCAATTTTCACAGTTTAATTTACATCTACGATACCGGTCAAAAGTTTGGGGTCAGTAGGATTTTTAAATGTGTTAAAATAAGCTTCTCCTGCTCACCAAGGTTGCATTTATTTAATCAATAATACAGTACAAGTAACATTGTGAAATGTCATCGCACTATAAAATAACGGTTCAAAAGTAGTTTATCAATTAATTTAATCATTTATTCCAGTGATTTTAAAGATAAATTGTCAGCTTCATTACTTCATTACTCCAGTCAATACTGTAATATTTTTTTTCTTTTTTCTTGAAATTAAAAAATAAAACATATTAAATTCATTCATTCATTCAATTTCTTTTTGGCTTTATTAATCCGGGGTTGCCACAGCGGAATGAACCACCAACTTATCCAGCATATGTTTTATACAGCGGATGCCCTTCCAGCTGCAACCAATCACTGGAAAACATCCATACACATTCACACACATACACTACAGTCAATTTAGCTTACCTCTAGCGCATGTCTTTGAACTTTAAATTTGGAGCACCCGGACGAAACCCACACTAACACGGGGAGAACATGCAAACTCCACACAGAAATGCCAGCTGACCCAGCCGAGGCTCAAACGTACAACCCACTGTGTCACCGTGATGCCCACATTTATTAAATGTAAAAAAAAATTGTTAAGTTGTTAAATACTAATTTAAATTTTATATAACTGCTTTTCTTGTTGTATATAGTTTAAAATAAAATTTTTACTCCAGTCATTTTGGCTTTTATTACTATTACTATTATTATTATTAATAACAATAATAATAACAATAATAATAATAATAATAATAATAATAATAATAATAATAACAATGACAATAACAATAACAATAATATTTATTTGAGTAATTTCAGAAGTATCAAGTGATTCAGAAGGCTGGCGTAATGAAGCTGAAAATTCATCTTTAAAATCACTGGAATAAATTATTTAAATAAATTATGAACTACTTTTGAATGGTTATTTCACAATGTTACAATTTGTACTGTGATTTTGATTAAATAAATGTAGCCTTGGTGAGCATTTTTTTTTTTAAAGAGGAATATGTTCATACATTTCTGACATACATACACCATACATATTACCCTCCTGAATTATTAGCCCCCTGTTTATTTTTTTCCCCAATTTCTGTTCAACTGAGAGAAGATTTTTTTTAACACATTTCTAAACATAATAGTTTTAATAACTAATTTCTAATAACTGATTCAATCAGGCAAGTTGTTGTATAATGATGGTTTGTTCTGTAGACTATTAAAAAATACAGTTTAAAGGGGCTAATAGTTGTGACCTTAAAATGGTTTTTAAAAAATTTAAAACTGCTTTTATTCTAGCCAAAATAAAACAAATAAGACTTTCTCCAGAAGAAAAAAAAATATTATCAGACATACTGTGAACATTTCCTTGCTCTGTTAAACATCATTTGGGGGGGAAAAAAAATTCAATGGGGGGGCTAATAATTCTGACTTCATCTGTATATGATTATATACAAATTTTCATCAAATAAAATAAAGTATATATTACATGTCTAATATGATTATATGATAATTACGCCCCCATCGCTTTTAGAATCAGACCAATTAGAAACAGGTGATTAATAATAAAATTAACATAAAACTTAACATAAATCTCATTCTGCTGCCCCATCCCCCTTACCTCCTTTAAAATGTCCGCTACTCCCACTGTGGCAACCCCGAATAAATAAAGGGACTAAGCCGAAAATAAAATGAATGAATGAATAATATAATATAATATAATATAATATAATATAATATAATATAATATAATATAATATAATATAATATAATATAATATAATATAAAAGAATTGTGTGGAACCTACCATTTTTGTACAGTGTATTTGGCCTGCAACTGCCATTGGAGCCTGTTGAACTGGTAGAGTAGCGGGTGGATGAAAGCTGTCAACAGGATGTCAGTCGGTCAGTCGGTCAGCTGACCTCAGGAAAAGCAGCTCTTCGGCCAGCAAACCCGAACAAAGTGCTTAGACAGGCAGGAAGCTGATCTGACTGGAATGTGCATTATCAGAGACTACCAGCAGAGAGGGACAAAGAAGAAAACCTGAGGAAATGACACTCACGTGACACCCAGGTTGGTAATTTCCATTTGTTGACGCTGGACCACACATGAAGTTCAGATCCTGTGTGTGATCTTAAGGATAAAACACAATATTTAAATAAAATGTTCAATTGGATGACAGTTTCACTCTGAGGTTTACCAGAGGCAAATCCTAGATGTACACTTTATTAGGTACACCTGTCCAACTGTTTGTTAACGCAAATTTCTAATCAGCCAATCAAATGGCAGCAATTCAATGCATTTAGCCATGTAGACATGGTCAAGACGATCTGCTGCAGTTCAAACTGAGCATCAGAATAGATTTAAGGTGATTTAAGTGACTTTTAACGTGGCATGGTTGTTGGTGCTAGACAGGCTGGTCTAAATATTTCAGAAACTGCTGATCTACTGGGATTTTCATGCACAACCATCTCTAGGGTTTACATAGAATGGTCTAAAAAAGAGAAAATATCCAGTGAGGGGCAGTTCTGTGGGCAAAAATGCCTCGTTGAGGTCATAGGAGAATGGCCAGACTGGTTTTAGCTGATAGAAAGGCAACAGTAACTTAAGTAAACACTTGTTACAGCTAAAGTATGCAGAGGAGTATCTCTGAATGCACAACATGTCCAACCTTGAAGTGGATGGGCTACAGCAGCAGAAGACCCCACCAGGTGCCACTCCTGTCAGCTAATAACTGGAAACTGAGGCTACAATTCACACAGGCTCACCAAAATTGGACAATAAAAGATTGGAAAAACGTTGCCTGGTCTGATGAGTCTCGAATTCCGCAGCAACACTCGGATGGTAGGGTCAGATGCCACAGCCTACCTGAGTATTGTTGCTGACCATGCCCATCCCTTTATGACCACAGTGTACCCATCTTCTGATGGCTACTACCAGCAGGATAACACTCATGCATTATGTCATGAAGCATGAATCATCTCAGACTTAAACATGACAATGAGTTCACTGTACTCAAATGGTCTCCACAGTCACCAGATCTCAATTCAATAGTGCATCTTTGGGATGTTGTGGAACAGGAGATTCACATCATGGATGTGCAGCCGAAAAATCTGCAGCAAATGTGTGATGCTGTCATGTCAATATGGACCAAAATCTCAGAGCAATATTTCCAGTACCTTGTTGAATCTCTGCCACGAAGGATTAAGGCAGTTCTGAAGGCAAAAAGAGGTCCAACCTGGTACTAGTAGAGTGTCCTTAATAAAGTGGCCGGTTAATGTATCTCACAAGTCGTTTTACTTGATCTGAAGTGTTGTATGTGACAATATATCACAACTTAAAAAAAATGAACATGGTAAAAACTAAAACTTTAAATGGGGAATAATCCAAGTTAACAGTAGTGATGTACCACAAGGATCTGTTTTAGTCTCTCTTCCTTTTTCATTTTGTCCCTGGGTCAATTTACTGCTATGCTGATGATACTCAGCAATATACACTAATTCATTCATTTTCCTTAGACTCGCCACAGCGGAATGAACCACCAACTTATCCAGCATATGTTTTACACAGCTGATTCCCTTCAAGCTGCAACCCAGTACTGGGAAACACCCATACACACTCATTCGTACACACATACACTACGGCCAATTTAGTTTATTCAACTCACCTACAGCGCATGTCTTTGGACTGTGGGGGAAATCGGAGCACCTAAAGCAAACCCATGTGAACACGGGGAGAACATGCAAACTCAGAAATGCCAACTGACCCAGCTGGGACTCGAACCAGCAACCTTCTTGCTGTGAGGCCACAGTGCTAACCACTGAGCCACCATGTCGCCCACTAAGGAAATGTAATGAATGAATAAAAACACATGATGTCACTACCTATTGTTTGTTTCATTTTTTACAATGAATGTTTGGCATCAAAAAGTCAGTATAATGACATTTCAATGTAAAAGCGTGTTACCTTGGATGATCTTGCTTAAGTTAGCAAGCAACAACTGACAGCTGCTCTAAAGCACGTAATGAGAGGGACAACAGCTCTGTAGACCAGGGAAAAAAAGACAATTGTAATTTTACTCCAGCGTGTGGTCAGATGTGCATATTTTATCTCACTGCGCATGCAAATCACAGCTGTGAGCTT